AGTTTTTCAAAAGTAGGTCAAACCCCTAAGTCAAGGTTAAAGTGGTTGGTATCCAAAGGAAGGTGATGTCACAAGGATTACATATGTGAAGTATGAAAGCCCTAGCATCAACCATTCAAAAGTTACCAACAAGGTTAACTTGGTTAACAAGGTTAAAGTTTTTCAAAAGTAGGTCAAACCCCTAAGTTAAGGTTAAAGTCGTTGGTATCCAAAGGAAGGTGATGTCACAAGGATTACATATGTGAAGTATGAAAGCCCTAGCATCAAACATTCAAAAGTTACCAACAAGGTTAACTTGGTTAACAAGGTTAAAGTTTTTCAAAAGTAGGTCAAACTCCTAGGTCAAGGTCAAAGGGTCAAAGTTGTTGATATCCAGAGGAAGGTCTTGTCACACGGAATACACACGTGAAGTTTGAAACCCTAAGCACCAACTGTTCAGAAGTTATGGCCAAGGTTAAAGTCTCATAAAATTTTGCAAAAGTGGGTCAAACTCCAAAGTCAAGGTCAAAAGGTCAAATATGATGGTCTTGTCACAAGGAATACACATGTGAAATATGAAAGTCATAGCTCCGACCAATCAAAAGTTATGGGCAAGGTTAAAGTTGACAACAGACAGACAGACAGGACAAAAACAATATACCCCCGGGATCTTTCGATCCGGGGCATAAATATGATGTGAGATTTGCCTTACTTATAGATAACATTCGCCGAGGTGAGCTTAGTAATCTTTGTTTACCTATATTTATATATCTGAAGCTATATGCATTCTGCACGCCTTGTTCACCCATCTCCTTTATTATTTGCATCATTTACAACCAAAATAGGTCCAAAAATATATACCAATCTAGGCATCCGTTTTGTTTTTTTTTTTTTTTTTTTTTGGTTTCTATCATCTGTCCTTAACAGGCAGTATTCGGATGAAATCGAACAAGCCAGAAAAAACCTATACCCAGTGATGAAAGAACTGCGACAGACAGAACGATGAACATGTGAAATTAGTCATAGATATATTATATTTTAATTGGCAGCCGTATGATACAATCGGAACACCGACGAAATGTCAGACAGGAAGTGTGGAAGCAACTCACTGTTGATCTCAGTCTCACTTTTCCACTATATATTCCTTTTGTAAAAGTGAGACTTAGATCAAAAGTTAGCTCGTATCAGTTTTAGGCCCCGGAGCCTGACAGGGGTATGCAAGGGGACATGTTGATAACTGTCCGTCTGGTGGCAAACTAAAGATCTTATCCTTGAATTGTGGCAATAAGAAAAAACTGAAATACCCCAAATTCCAAAATTTAGTTAAAATTATGACATTCTATGTTTTCAAGAAACTAAAACTGACGGTTTAGTTACCCTTTATTTAGATGGTTTTGACTTTTATTTGAAAAACAGAATTAAAAATGGTAAAAAGTTCTCTGGAGGAATTACAAGTATTGGTATACAGGAAAAAATTCAGTAAAAACATTATTCACAAAAGCAATAGCGAATTTGTACTTTGGTTTGAAATATCAACCAAAATTTCAAATGGAGGATTTTTTTAGATTGGCATACAGGAAAAAAATCAGTAAAATCATTTTTATTCACAAAAGCAATATATTTAGTGAATTTGTACTTTGGTTTGAAATGACAACCAAAATTTCAAATACTGATAAAAATATTTTCATTGGAAATGCGTATATTCCCCCCAGAAAACTCCAAATATGGTAACAAGGATGCATAAAGTTTATTAGAGATTGAAAAAACGATAAACGTGATTTTAGTACGTGATTTTAATGCCAGGACCGGAGCAGGATCTGAAATCCATCCGGTTTTATATGAAACCGTAGACAAATTCAATGATATTTTTGGAGAATCACAATATGAATTTAATTTAACATCAGGACATTTAGAGCGTAATAATGTGGATAAACTTGTTATGGCAAATTATTATTTGAGTTTTGCAAGGCCAACAATGTATTAATTGTAAAGGTCGCACAGATGATAATATATCTGGAAAAGCAACATGTAAAAGTACAAGTACTGTGGATTATTTGATATGTAACCACCACAGGCTTTTTTCTGTATACAGGGTATCGCTACTTATTTTTACCAAAATAAAAATAAGTAGCGATGCCCTGTATACGAAACAAATGCCTGTGGTAACTACATCTTTTGGAATTATATAGAAAATAAGCAAGTCTGTATAAGCAAGTTCACGTACACAACCCCTTTGTTTTTAAAAGTTTAAATAAATAAAAATCAATAAGATTTATTGACTGCGTTCTAGAGCAATATGCGTTTTGTCGGACCTAAGAACCAAACTGTTAGCCTGAGGCCGTTATTATTTACATGTATTTATTTATTTATTCCATACGAATATTTGTGTACTGGTTTCCATGATGTAAATTACTTTTTCCTTCACTACAGTAAAATTCGGTAAATTCTGTCACAGACGAACACCTAAGAATGCGAATAAGAGTTAGTTGATCCCGCCCACATTGTGACGTAAGCGGTTCAATATTTCATCGACATGTCAAATATCTCACTCTGTAAAGTTAACCTTTATTTAGATGGTCACCCTTTATTTATTATTGTATTATCAATAATAATGATAAAATAAATAAGTAAAAGGTATAACAAAACATTTATTAACTGCGTTCTCGGGCAAAATCCGTTTTGTCGACCCCTCGAACCAAAATGTTTTTCAAAATGTTCAGACTTGCAAACATTTATTAACTGCTTTCAGGCGCGTAGCTGCCCATACGCAAGTGCGTACACATCGTTTTAAATAACAAAAAAACAACAACAACAACAAAATATACGAGAGAGAGAGAGAGAGATAGAGAGAGAACTGCAATATCAACCAGCAAATATTTCTGTTTCAAATTATTTCCAAATTATCAAATTATTTTGATGTCATATTATTTCGAATAAGTTACTGCGATATCATGTCTATAAAATCAAATTTGAAAATTTGAAATTTGAAATTATTACCAAATCCAAATAAATTATTCGTTAGTTTTTTAAGTGTTCTATAACAGATTGACAATTTTTAAAGATATTTGTTGAGAAATTAAATTTTAATCATATCGTTGAATGGCTTGATCAAATATATTTTAATTACAGTAGTTTTTTTTTTTTTTACTAACATTTATTATACTTGTTGCTGAACATTATACTATAAAATAAAATGCAGACGATACCAATGTATCGCTAAAATATCCAGCCACAAGTATTGGTATAATAAGTTTCCGTGGAAGTTGAACTTTGCGTTAAAAACAATGCTACTAAGTTTTTTTTTTTTTTATTTCTAAAGAAAAGCGAAGCGGCATATATTTCCTGCAAGAAAGTGATTGAAATATTTGGAAAAACCCTGCAGCTTCCGGGGGCTTCGTCCCCTGGGCCCCCAACAGGGAGGGCATCACCCTGTCGTTCTCTGCGTACACTTCACTTCCATTCTGGCTACGGGCCTGGCTTTCTCGGGCAAAATGCGCTTTGTCGACCCCTCGAACCAAAATGTTTGCCTTCGGCCTATCGGCCTCAGGCAAACAGTTTGGTTCTTGGGTCCGACAAAATGCATGTTGCCCTCGAACCCAGTCAATAAATGTATAATATTTCTATATTTTATCAAGAAATAACAAGATCTTGGGATTCAAACTCATTACCGCTACATCTTATCAATAAGAAGATTGGCGAATACAACTCATTACCGCTACATACACAAAAGCTGCCTGCACAGAATATGAGTTACAGGTATACAAGGTTATTTTCGCCCTTTCAGACTTGCAAACAATTTTGCCCCGTTTTAAATTCGCCCAGTCACAGATCTGTTATAAAGAAATTATGTTGTGTTCTTTGAATTCGTTCCGTTTTAAATTGGCAAACCTGTGAGTAGGGCGAAAATAAATCGGGGGCGGAAATTTCCCTATATTGTGTATTCAATATTATTTGCTCACAATGTAGTGGAAGTTGAAGTGCAATTCAATATGAGTTCTATTCAAATTTTTATTTTATTCAGCCCGTAATCGAAATACAATGAGAATTTCAAAATTAAATTATAAAGTGTGGAGATGTGTAGGAAAAAGCTGCAAAAATATGTCTTTTAGAATTTAAATGGCTAAGGAATTCAAAAATCAAAGTGAAAAAACATCCTGCATGCTCAAAGTCCCCGTGGTGAGCAGGGGAAACAGGTCTTATGCATATACATGTTGTACTTTATATCAGTTCATGCATAAGACGCTGGCAAACGGAAGAGGCGTTGTAGCGGTTGTAGTAATGAGTATGTAGCGGTAATGAACATTTTGAAAATACAGCGGTAATGTAATGCACCCCTCTCTTCCAGTGAAGTTCCTAATTGAAAGCCATACCTTCTGGTGCATTGTCAAGCAAAGAAGGACATAAAAGGAATTCGCTCACACATATTACAAGATGCGTGGCTAGTATGAATGTATAACCTCGGATTTTACTGGTATATATATATATATATATACGAGTAGTTATCGTTGGCAAAACATTTATTTAAAAGATTAACTTTAGCACAATAGAACATAAAGGTATTTCGCGGGGGGAGGGGGGGGGGCTCATAAAAACACAAAAAAAAACGCAATCCGAATTATTAACTTATAAAAGTGAGTATAGTAATGACTACTCAACATTTGTACTAATACGAATAATCTAATATTTATTCTGGTTAGTTTTTCCTAAGATGGTACATGTATTCAAAAACATATATTTTTACACACACATTACTTAAGAAAATTTTTTTTTCATTTTTAAAAAGTTTCTTAGATAATCAATTAAATCCAATCCTATTGAATATTTCAATAGTTTACATATTATGAGGAAGGGAGCTCTATATATCATTTTATCTTCCACTCTCATGATGAACAAAAAGACGTAAAATGATTTAATTCTGAAAATAATTTTTCAGACATTAAAGAGACTTTATTTTTTTTTTTTAAATTATTAAAGATGTCATGTGTACTAGGAAATACACAGTGAGACACAGAACTTCAGTATCAGGCAGTTATCTTTTTGAGATCTTTCTCCGACTCGGTCTCGGTCGCAGTCTTGTTTTTTCTTGCGAAGAATCCTACGACGATAAGAACTAGTAGTTCCACCACTTCCGCCAGACTTAGGACAGAAATCCCCGCCCACAGGCCCAGCTGACCACCGATGTCACTCAGGAAGTTTTCAAACTAAAAACATAAACCATGTACTGTGGAATTTATATAAAGATATGATGCAATAATTGGACACGTTTCATACACTGCTACAAAGTGGCTACATGGATTAAAAATTATTATTATTACAGGTATGCTAAATTTTTGCTCTTTTGATTAGAATAATTTCAATGACATAGCCGTAGGAGCCGTGCCTCCCCCCCCCCCCCCCCCCCAATAATTTTGCCGATATATAGAATACTATAGAAAACTTAGGTACTATATGCTCGTGCTCCATCAATAAAAACGTCTTATGACCTTCTTTTTTTTTTTTTGCTTGTCAGAGAATATTGGTAGTTGATAGTGCCCCCCCCCCCCCAAACTGAAATTGCTTCATACGGGCCTGAATGATCATGAATCTAAAGGAGAGGCATTTTAAATCAATGGTAAATAACTCTTAACAAATTTTTACATTTTGAGCTATTGAAAGCCACATCTTTACGCTTTATTTTGACCTATTCTCATGAATTCATCGAATAAATTTATAACAACTGCTGCATTCCTATTTGTATATCTCTATCAAATGATAAGATTTTAATGACGTATAGAGGACCTTTAGAAGCTGCGCCTACCGTGTAAGATTCCTCTTCCTCTATCACAGTTGTTGACAATGACGAGAAAAAGACATGAAGCTTCATATAACTTGAAGTGTCAAAGAAACTGAAAAAAAAGCAAACGAAAATCAAGGAAAGGAATTACCCGAGCTCACAGCCAGGCGGGGTTCATATTAAACACAGGCACCTGAGGTTTGGATGGTACAACCCCCAACCCCCTTCTGAGATTTTTTGGACACCATGATTTTATCAAAAATACATGGATTTCTAGCAGACAATACACGAATTCTTATTTCTGATATATCCTTTTCACTGTTTTTAATTTTAGAGATTGACACCTGAGAGGAGGTCATAATATTTCTTGGGTCCTAAGCTTACCGAGTACCTTTATAGTTCTTAGGTGTAGAAAAAATGCGTAAAGCTCATTTTCTCGTAAAATGAAAACTTTTCATAATAAATGCATTCTACCATTAGACTTGTTGCTGAAATTAGGTAAGTTTTTTTAAACTCCCGTAATTAATCGAAAATTCGATTAGTTTTTTGTCCTGTCTAGCTCGTTCGTCTGTCCGTCCGTCTCTCTGTCTAGCTGTTTCTCAGCAAAAAATTAACCTTGGTCATAACTTTTGAACAGTTGATGTTAGGAGTTTTCATATTTTGCATGTGTATTCCTTGTGACAAGACCTCCCCTTGCGTACCAACATTTACATTTACCTTTCGACCTTGACCTTGGAGTTTGATCTACTTTTGAAAAACTTTAACCTTGTGCAGAACTTTTAAAAAATTGGTGTTTGGATTGTCAAATTTCAGATGTGAATGTTTTGCGACAAGACCTTTTTTTTTGGGAGGGGGTACCTCTTGACCTTGGGGTTTAACTTACATTTGAACAACTTTAACACTGACCGTGAACTGCCATATGGGGGCATCAGTGTTTCACAACTCACCTTGCTCTGGAAATCACTTGTATCAATATAATTGTAGATGTATGTAAAAATTTAGACTTGTATCCAAGCTTTAATCCCTATAGTCAAATGGCCAGCTCATGCGCGGATCTACAGGAGGGGTCGGGGAAGGGGGATCCGGACCCCCCCCCCCGAAATTTGCAGTTATAAAATATATACTGAAGAAAATAAAAATGACTTTGGACCCCCCTCCCAAGAAAAAGTGGATCCCACGTTCACCACCACAAAATAGGTATTTTTCACGTTTGGGAAATGCATTTTACGGCTTTCATTTATTTATTTTTATTTATTTATTTATTTATTTATTTTTATTTTTTTTTATTTTTTTTCGCTCGTCGAGAAATTTTCTGGGTTTCAATACGTTTGGGAAAGGAATGTGGTTTTTTTTTCTTTTTGTTTGTCAAGACATTTTGGGTTTGGAAATTTTATTTTGGACTGGGGTGCCCCCCCCCCCTGGAAAAAATTCCTGGATCCGCGCCTGCAGCTTACTAGCGTATGATATTCACAGTGACGAAGAATTCTCTCTCTCTCTCACACACAGTGATACACTTACTTGTTTTGAGAAATATTTACTCCGCCCTCCTTGAGTTGTTGTTTAAGTATAGGAATATAAGACTCGATTGGCCATGTTGTCATTGATAGGGTCTTTTCATATATCAGTTCTCTGAAAATACCCAAGACATCTCTTAGAATGCGTCATAAAAAAACTGGTCATTAAGTTTAGATTATGTTTGTAAAAATTGATTTATCAGAAAGTGGATGAATTAAATTTAATTTTTCTTTCGATGTGTAAATAAAAGTATCGAAGTCAAGTTGACAAAACTACTCAATAACGGTCAGATTGAACACACCATTTAACAGGTATTTTATATTGTATTCATACTTACTTGCAAGGAATCTTGCAATGAGAGCACGTTGCAGAAATATCTAGGTGCGTGCGGACATACTCGTTGCTCTCAATTTCTAAAAAATAATGAGACAATAAACGAATTATACCTTAGATCACTTTCCCCAACCAGATTTTTTTTTAAAATCATGTAAATAAAAATTTTTAAAAAAATTACTCTTTCGTCCAAAAAAAAAAATAATTGGAAGAAAGCTCGCATAACAAAATCTTTATAAAGATTTATTTATTTATTGTAATGAATTTTTATCAGTTTACCTTTCAACGAGGAACACAGGGAGTGTTCACCTATAAAAGTATACTCGTGGGCACAACCACTCACCGTAGCAGCAGCAATCCCCACACAATACTCTATACATTCCTAGAGTAATATGTCAAAAAATCAGATCAACTTTACAGCAGATTTTTACTTAACTCCCCTTACCTCACCCCACCCCACCCCCATCGCACGAGGGGAGAGGGGGCTTGAGTTATCTAAAATGAAAGCTGGATCATTCGTTTACTTGATGTTTAGACAATAAAATTATATGCAGTACATGGATGCTTTTAACGAGGGGTGATCAAAAAGTTCGTGAACTAATCCAATTACTTCCATAAAAGAAATGAAATCATGTTTCAATGTGTATTATTTTTTAAGAAGTCCCCTCCAGTTTTAATGCACATCTGCCACCATTCTGCCAGTGCACGAAACACATGGTCCTGGCGGTCACGTGACATGTTCACAGCAGCAAAATGATTTTTCAGAATCTTATATTTATTACCACGCAGGTTATTATTTTTAACAAGAACAGTCCATTTGTCCAAAATGACCAAATCTCGATAATAGGATGGGTGGACAAGGATATCTTTTACTAGAATGAGCATGGTGACCATCACAACCCGTCTCTTCTGTCTTGGATTTTTTTAAAAATATGAATCAAGTATGGGCGCGTTCTCTCATAACTGAAAAGTTTAAAGTCGAAAGTTAATGATATTTTCGGGATTTAATAATTATTTTATTGCTAAGATATTCAACTATTTTTCTAACTGTAACTTGACGATCTTTTGTAACAAATTGTTCAAGTAAAGACACATCTCTTTCCCAGCATACTTTCAATGGGCACCAGAACAAACATCATTTTTAACTATCTCCCTTCCTTCACTAAAACAATCAATTCAATTAATGATTGAACTTCTTGCAAGTCCTTTGTCTTTATAAACCCTGTATAAATTATTATATTATACTTTCATAAAATAAGTTGAATCTGATTCGTCGAGAAACATTTGTTTAAAAAAACACTGTTACCCGCTGAATAATGAAGCCACGCCCTCCAACATAGCAACAGTCACTATTGCTTGACAACGGGTGATATTCAAAAAAATATTGCCTGCGCAGAATTTATGCACACAAGACTCACTGTAATTTGTATTTGTAGAAAACATTCAGCATAATATAATAAATATTGCATATATATATATATATATATATATATATATATATATATATATATATATATATATATATATATATATATATATATATATATATATATATATATATAAGTTTTTATAATTCAAATGATAGGCCATAAAAACACATTTTAAATTTTTTACCGCGACATCGTTGTTCAATCCATCTGCACATTTCCTTTCCGATCCTGGAATTCGAATGTTTTCCACCTGCAAAAAGGGGAATTATGAAATACAAGAGGACCAAGGGCCTCAACGGTCACCTGAGTATAATTCAACTCTGTAAAGGATCAATAGAAGTAAAACAAGAGGCCCAAGGGTCTTAACGGTCACCTGAGTATAATGTAACGATCCATAGATTAAAACAAAATATACTGATAAATAAAGCTATGTTGCCCAAAAGCAAGAGAAATAGCATAATCAGGGATCAGCAAAATATTAATTTTGTACTAAATAACAAATCATAAAGTCGATCTATTTATTGTACTTTCCCCCATTTGCCACGATCCTCATGCACACTAAACAAAACAATAGTTCTAGTGCACTATTAGTTAACAGTCGCCCGCGTGGCGCAGTGGTTAGGGCGAGTCGCGGAGTAAGGAGTTGATCCTTACGTCGCGGGTTCGAATCCCACTGTGGGACGTGGAGACCGGTCCTTCGGATGAGACCGTATTAGCCGAGGTCCCTTGTCGCAGTAGGTGCTGGCACGAAAAAGATTCCTCACTGCTCAATGGCCCTCAGTGCCGTGTATAGGTCGAAATTTGTAGCTCTCCACCGGCAAGTGGTGGCGTCTCCATATGAGTGAAAAATTCTCGAGAGAGACGTTAAACAATAAACAATCAAACAATATTAGTTAACACATTTCATTCCCCTCTCTTGGTCTTTAAAGATTATTTATTGTACAAAGATATGGTATTTTTGTCCCATTTTCATTTATCTATTATTTAAAAGTTTACCTGACCATTAAAACTATGAATGTACTTTTGTATTAAATCTTAAAAAATTTCTTGTATAATTCTGTTATTCAATTGACCTTATAAATTACATTATTTAAAGTGATTAACTTATATAGGTGAATAGCAAACGGGAATAACTTCTTTCGGCAGAAATTAATAAATTGACCAAAGAGTACAGATTTTCAAACTCTTGTAAAAACATCCCTGCTTAATACAACTTTAATACTCTATTTACCTCCTAGATGCCCAGGAGCAGAGAATTTAAGATGTTCAAAGAAATAATCCATTTTCAATATAGTAGTCATTCTCACAATGTCAAGGTTTTGTGATTTCGAAACTCCACACAAACCCTTGACATAATCGTTATTTAAAAGTTGGGCTAGAAAGCTACTATTTCATTTGTTCCTGGTTTAGAATCGACTGGAACCAATCAGAAAACAGGTTTTATTGTAGGTAAGTTTTGTAACCAAATATGTCCCTCTTTCAGTTTGTGCGGAGTTCCGAAATCGCAAAACCTTGACATTGTGAGGATGTATAGTAATATTCAATTATTCACGCATGATATGTTGCCCATTAGCAAGAGAAACAGATGATCAGAGATCAACAGAACAGTTAGTCCAGTACTCAGTAAGAAATCCTAAGTCCCTACTAGTATTTACTTGCCAATGCTAATGCACTATATTAATGGTGTCTGTTCTGGAGCACAGGGACTTGAGACAATATATAGTACCCTATTATACTATATACCCGATTTTGCTAAGATTGTCTCAGGTCCCTATGTTTTGGAGGGTAACCAGTTGAAATTGACACCCCAAGGAAAACCATTGTCAACCTCCGCTTATACTCATCGGTTGACATTGGTTTTCCTTGGGGTGCCAATTTCAACTTTTACCCTTCAAAACTGGCACAATTAATTTTATTATACTGAATGTCTATATTGATTTAGGGTGTCAGCAAAAAAATTCGTCGATCGTCTTTACGTTCACGTTTAGAAAGCTTTCAAATTCCCTGATTCTATTTTTCTCAATAAGAAGGCTTCGAAAAAGATTTACCGACCTTTTTATTGTTTGTCTGATACTCAAAGAGTCTTTATCAACTAAAGCACAGGAGTCGGCAGTTTTATCCATAAAGCAACGTAAACAACAACCAGTGAGCTTCGCGAGCGAAGCGATTGTCGAAGCGATTGTCGCTTCGCTCGCTACGCTCGCGAAGCTCACAGATTGTTGTTTACGTTGTTTTATGGATAAAACTGCCGACTCCTGTGCCTAAAGTTTCGTTATTTCTGCACTCGCAAGCATGTTTTGTCTGTCGTTTGTTGTTTTCAAGTAAGCTACATCGGATGCAAGGTTTTATTGACATCACGCACAACGGACGTTTTGAGAATTCTACGGTGAACCGTACGCGCATGATTTGCACGCATGTAATAATATACATTTATTGACTGGGTTCGAGGACAATATGCGTTTTGTCGGACCCAAGAACCAAACTGAGGCCGTTGGGCCGAAGGCAAACAGTTTGGTTCGAGGGGTCGACAAAACGCGTTTATCCGAGAACACAGTCAATAAATGTTTTGTTATACCTTTTACTTTTTATTTTGACATAACATGATGTAAATTTTGTTTACCCGCACTGCGGTCTAAACTTGGTCAGTTCTGTAAAGTTCTGTCAAACTCCAACGAATGCAAATGAGATACAGCTGACCCCGCCCACAATGTGACGTAAGCGGTCCAACATCTCATCGACAGGTCCAATATCTCGCTCTACTGTCAAACATCGATTTTTTTATGACCGCTCAGTAAAGTATTGGAAATGTTAGACTTTTTATAGGAAACAATTTTTAAAGGTATAACAGTTCGGATTGGTAACTGCGTTTAAACCAATCAGATTTTAGTATTTAACATGAAAGTATAATAATACCAAATATTATACTTTCATGTAAATTAGTTGAAACTGATTCGTCGAGAAACATTTGTTAAAAAACACTATTACCCCTGAATGATGAAGCCACGCACTCCAGCGTAGCAACAGTCAACATTGCTTGACGACGGGTGATATTTCAAAAAAAATTATAGTGACAGCGCAGAACCTTACGCGCAAGGTTCACTGTTAAATGTATTTGTATAAAACATTCAGTATAGTATAATAAATATAATAAATATTGCATGTAGTTGAGTGTAACATTGAAAATTTTCACCCATCGAAAACAAGGCTGCGCCTCGGTTGACAATGGTTTTCTTGGGTTGTACTAGGTTCTTCTCTGTGAAATATACATGAAGAGAATTGTTCATGTTACACATCCTACTGACAGACAAAGGCTGAATGGACAAGTTCAGGTAAAGTGAAGTTACACTCATAATAATTTGATTTTCAATGTTACACTCAACTACATCCAGTATTTTATATTGTTACTATCATCAGTATACAGACCAAAGAAAACAACATCGCTTAAGCACCCGCCTTTCACGCTGGTCTCTCTAGGTCTTTTAAGAACATTTAATGTACAAAGATATGGTATTTTTGTCTCATTATTATTTATCTATTATTTACAAGTCTACATGACCATTAAAAACTTTGGAAGTACTTTTTTGTATTATTCATTAAAAATTTTTGTGTAATTTTTGTTATTCAATTGATTTATCCGTTACATTATTTACAGTGATTAATTATCATAGGTGAATAGCAAAGAGGAATTTGAAATCAAAAGTTTTTACCAAGATCAATAACATCAAAATACGAATTTTCAACACTTTATACAACCAATCCCCTACGATAAATTAAAGTCTAGGCTTTTTGACATCACAGACATCTGCTTTTTCAATAAAAATGGAACTATAAATTTACTTACCTTGTCATTTGCAAAATTATTTTGTTAATTTAAACATTCTGAGTGTGCACACAAGTACTCTGAGATGCTTGAGTATCTGATTGACAATATCTATGTAGTTTTTGGAGATCAGGTCTTCCAACAATCTTTCGGAATTCCCATGGGTATCACTTAGTATGTTTGCCTAATACTCATGGGCATAGAAGAAGATTTTCAAAGAAATAATGTATTTTCATTACTTGATCAATAGAGCCCCATCCTAACTAACACCAGAACCCTGTACCAACGGGCCATGAATTTTACAATTTTAGAAGAGACACCCTTGCTCGTCAAAGCTATGTTTGCCTAATACCCGGAGATAGAGAAGAAGATTTTCAAACAAATAATGTATTTTCACTATAAAACACGTAAAATTGATGCAAAGCATCAAATCGGCCGCATGCAACTTTTAGCTTTTCAAAAAGTACATTCACAATTTGAAAAGCATCCATGCAAGGAAAGCACAAGATATTCAAAGCTGAAAGAGTGATCATTTTGATTTCAGACTGTCTTCAAAGAAAAATAAATAAATAAATATTCCTATAAATTTACATTCAGATCTCAAGATGAACCACGTGGTGATACCCTGGATCTGTGTCACGTGATAATGTCCATTATTTCTACAGAGTAGGCTATGCTGCTCGGCGCAGTGCCATTCGCAGTTTCAGCATATTCAAAACAATTTTTACTATTTGAACAACTTTTCAATTTTTATTCAGCAAGCACTTTTACCACTTCATTATTATTCGGAAAATCATAACGATTTGCTTCCATATCTTACACATTCCCATGTTGGGGAGAACCTATTTTAAAATCTTTGTATATAATCATGAATTATCAATTATCAGATGAGAAGTGATAATGAAATTGAATCATAATAACAACCATTACGACTTACTTTAAAGCAAGTTTTTAAAATATTTTACTCATGATTTTATATATGTTATCATTTAAGAATTATTTTACTGAACTTATAAAGAAATAACGTCTCATTTCCCCATGTGCACTTTCTAACACAACCACAAATAAATCGGCCGCTGCTGCGGCCGATAATGAATAGAGTTCAACCTTAACATTAGAACCCCTTCACCCAGGGGCCTTGAATTTCGCAATTTTGGAAGAGGCACCCTTGCTATGTACTTACTTTGTGTGCTTAATATACATGTACAGGGGGAAAGAAGATGATTTTCAAAGAATTAATACATTTTCACTGTATAATCATTAGAGCCCATCCTAACTCCCGAATTCCTGACCCTGGAGCCATGAATTTGACAATTTTGAAAGAACTCGTTGTTTGTTATAATCCTGTCAGAAGTTTAACTGCTTGATGTCCAGGAGTTAAGAAGATTTTTGAAAATTGTATTAATTTTGATTGTTTTAGTCCAACCAATCAGCTCCCCCCCCCCCCCAACCATGAAATTCACAATTTTGTCCCCTTCTGCTCATAGATGCTCTACACCAAAATTTGTTGAAATTGGTTCAGCGGTTTATGAAAAGAGGTTCAGAAATTTTCAAAAGACTATACGAATGAAGACTGATGGAACAGATAGCAATAGGTCACCTGAGTGACTCAGGTGACCTAAAAACGAGAGTTTCAAATTCAAGAGAGCGAAAGAGAGATGGGGAGAGAGAGAGAGATTTACATTTTTTAAAGCGATATAAGTTTCCACATTTGGGGACAGTAGAGTCCCCGTTCTTCTCATGCTTGGGATTTTATTTTCCAGATCTTTCTCATTTCGAGTGATGTCCATTATGACACCAGCAGACCCAGCGATGAAAGGAATATATTCCGTCTGCTCCAGATTTAAAGTCAGAGTCAAACCTAGATTATGTGAAGATGATAAGGATTTACATGTATTGTCAGTTAGTACATGCATACATGTATTTACATTGATGTCAGACATGGATAGTCGATCATGGGTGATTGACTTGCCTACCTGGGTCATTTACTGTATGCTGAAATAAAATTGCTTTTATCACTTAGTTTTCCCAAAAATGTTTGACATATGTTCATTCCTAATTTGTTACACACTTTCGGATGTCCCACGTTGACGTACTGGGGCTGTACTATGACCATACACGCTGTATTGAATGTGCAAAATTATTAACCTATCTGATGAAGGAGTTAATAAACCTCGGCTGTTTATCTTTATTTAAGTATCAAGCATGACATAGAAAATGGAATCATTGCTATCATGACTGGAGCCACATACCTCCCTGCGGACCAGGGGATACTACCATTTTTCTTTCCGAGGGAATGAACCTGTAGCATGTGCCGTAAAATTCATCTCTGTACGACGTCACATCACTGGAACAAAAAAAAACATAGTTTATCAATCTATATCGAACAAGATGTGTTTGTGAAACACTGATGCCCCCGTATGGCTGTTCATGACGTAGGTTAAAGTTTCTCGAATGCAAGTCACATTCCAAGATAAAGAGATCAAAAATGTCGGTACCCAGAGAAAGGTCTTGTCACAAAGAATACATCTCTGAAATATGAAAGCCTTAACACTAACTGTTCAAAAGTCATGGCCAAGGTTAAAGTTTTCCAAAAGTATGTCAAGTTCAAAGGTCAAGATCAAAGGGTCAAAATTGTTGGTATCAAAGGGAAATTCTTGTCACAAGGAATATACCTGTGAAATATAAAAGCCTTAGCTCCAACTATTCAAAACTTATGGCCAAGGTTCAAGTTTTCTTAAAAGTGGGTCAAACTCCAAGGTCAAGACCAAAAAGTAAAAAAAAAATTAAACTCAAGAAAAGGTGTTATCACAAGAAATACATATGTGAAGTATGAAAGCCCTAGCATTAACTGATCAAACGTTATGGCCAAGGTTATAGTTTTGTAACATTTTGACAAAAGTGGGTCAAACTCCATAGTCAAGGTCAAGAGTTTAAATATGTTGGTACCCAAAGAATAGTCTTGTCACAAGGAAAACACATGTGAAATATGAAAGCCATAGTTATAACCAATCAAAAGTCATGGGTAAGTTTAACGTGTTCGCGGACAAACAGACAGCTAGGCAGACGAACGGACAGGGCACAAACTGTATGCCCCCGAATCTTCTATTATGGGGGCATTAAAAATATAAACACTCACTTCAAGATGCAGGGCTTTCCTTGATATTCACACGATATGATAAATTCTGTCTTTTCTTGTGATTGTGCTTTCAAGTTTGACCAAGAAAGTTCCCCCATTCTTTGATAGAACATATTTCTAGCATCTGACGTAGACGCAATCCCTGAAATTGAACATTGAAAATGCTATTAAATTGTATTTTAATAATGTCAGATGGATTTCTTCTCATTATTAAATTGGAGAGACGTAAATGCAAAATATAAACGTAATACATTTAATACCTACACCAAGTAATTATAATTCGACATAATAACTCAATACCCTAGCTGCAGTGTGTCTTTATATCTGAACCATTATTATAAATATTCAATTTACGGTGCTCTTAGACGCTGGTCTCTTTCAGGCACGTGGCATTGTTTTGAATGTCAGGGGTGGAGTAAGGGAAAAATTGATAACTTTATTTTTTTAAAAAAACACAAAAAGAAGGAAAAACTTTAAAAACTCGAAAATCCCACTTCGTTTGGAGGGGGGGGGGGGTTAAAAAATTTTCGACAACAAAAATTTTGGATACATGAGCATCGATTTGACCAGCAACATAAAGTGGGGATAGGGGCGGACTTTCAAAATAAAAATTTCATACTAAATTAACAGAAAAAAACTTGTTCGAAAAAAATTTGGGGCATGCATCCCCTTCTATTAAGTACATACTCACCTAATAAGCCAGTCGCTGGGTATAATTTCAGGTATTTCTATAATAAATTTAAAGATATTGTTAAACGTGCTTGGACACAGATTTGAAGTTAATATTTTCTCAAATTTTCTGTATAATTCCATGACTTATATGTTGCTATAGCATTTCATACTAAAATATAATAAAAATCTTATTTCATCTCGAAGTTATTAAAACTTCGAATTTCTGGACGCGTTGGATTGACACATCCTTGCGCTTTCATATATTTTAATTTTATTCTTAATACTTAAGAGAAGTGGCGATTTTGTTGTGTATTAATGAAAAATATTAAAACTATAACCTAGAAAATTCAGAGTAGAAATGTTCGAAAGCAAAACTCACAGTATTGTAAGTCCGTGCTCAGTGGTGTGTGCAGAGTTTAACAATGGAACACGCCCGGTGAATCGTAAACCATTCACAATAACAGAGCTCGTGCCCTGTTTACAAAAACAGTTTACGTTCCACGGGTGTGTTCAATTTGTTTAACTCTGTACACATCACAGAGCACGGACTGACAATACTGGTGAGTTGGTTTTGAATTTTCTGGATTATAGATGTAACATTTTTCATTAATACATAACAAAATCGCTTCTTTTCTTAAATATTAAGGATAAAGTTAAAATTTATGTAAGTGCAAAGATGTGTTAATCAAACGAGTCCCGGAATTCGTAGTCCCAATAATTTCCAGATAAAATAAGTTTTTAATTATATTTTCGTGTGAAATGCTATTGCAATATATAAGATTTAAATAAGTTATATAAAGATATTTATATAAGATATAAAATTTGAGAAAATATTAAGTTCAAATCTGTGTCTAAGCACCTTTAATGAAAGATTGATACAGACTAACAGTTTTATAAAGGAATTTTTCTTAAGTATTACACTTGTATTCAAATCTATTATTTGATTTTTTTAATTGATAAAGGATTGATGATAAATGATTTATTCCTCCAATAAGTATACTTTTGTTAATTGTCGTTGCTTTTTTTTAAGAAAAGAATGAAAATATTTCAAAATATCAATGCTAGTGCAGATTCTAGGAAGGTTTTTTTTACACCAATTTCTGAAAACCAGAGAGAGAGAGAGAGAGAGAGAGCAAAAGAATTGAATGTAATTAACTTATCCATAGTATACATGTAAGTCTACACACAAAGACAGTTAACGGACCCAACCTCTACGATTGTTCCAAAATCCAGCATGTCAACTCCGGTTAGTGTAGCCGTTTCATTGATGATTTTGAAGAGTTTTTCATTTTCCAACATTTTTGAAAATTTCATAGGATTGAGATTACAGAAGGAAACCTTTGGAAAAGCAATTTTTCCATATTCATTTTTTATAATAGTATTAGTGGGTTCCCTGAAAAAGACACATAAATTGTTTGTGATAAATAAATTTAAAACAAATATTAACTCTGCAATTACAAAATTTTCAAAATCTATATACAAACGTCTTTTAGATTTTCTGTTTCACAGTAAACATAATTGCTGAAGTTTTAGAAAATCCACAATTAATTCTCCAAGGGAAACCTTAACCAACAGAATCTCTTCATTGTAAGTTCAGATATGCATAACATATTAAAAGTTTCCTAAAATAATTAAGAAATAGAGACGATTTATTTTATGTGAATTTTTAATAAAGCATACGTTTACTTGATAAAGAAGATGGGTGAACAAGGCGTGCAGAATGCCTATAGATTCCGATATTAATAAAATCATATTCAATTTATGAATTAAGTCTTTAAAATAAAGTTCTCATTATCGAAATTTATTAAATTATGATCAACAAAACTTTTCTGAGAAAAAAGATCTCGGAAAAAATTATTCTTTTATTTAAAAAATAAAATGGTATTCGTGGGATTCGAACCCCCTAAAAATAAAAATCCGGAGTTTCATATTGTATTGAGACCAACACGCTAACCACTACGTCACGCATCTCCTGACGAATAGCGGCATTTAAATCATGTTTGTGATATGACCCTTGACTTAATGGACTTCAAGTATTTCTCGGAAAGATGCGAATGCTTTGTCATAAAAGTGTACTTTTAAGGTATAGTGGGTCTTTGCTCCATGTTTTTGTAAACCAAAAAATGTATATTTTTATGCAAACTTTTAGGATCAACTTTCAAAAAAATGGAGCGAAGACCCACTCATATCGAAAAATTTTGTTAAAGTGTGAGAAAATTATCCTTTTTGTTCTCTTTAGTGTGTGTAAGCTATTTCGTAGGCAAATAATTTCAGTCTTTGTGAGATTTTTGTAAATTGTAGAGATTTAGCATAAAATATACTTTAATGTTAGATAAAATATCAAAGAAAATTTTTATATAATTGAGATTTTATTTTTCAATTCATGTTTGTCGCACTATAGGCACTTCGCCCGCCTTGTTCACCCATCTTCTTTCTTTCCATATTGCTTATTTCTACATTTTTGAAGTTAAGAATTTTTCTATTAACTGACATCTGCTATCATTTATATTACAAAATCTTAATGATGTTTACAAAATAAACTGAATTGAAAGACAGATAATAATTAGAATTCTTTTTTTTTTTTTTTTTTTTTATACAACATAGCCTAGTGATGATCAGGGCAAAAACTACCTCTGAAGTCTTTGTGAATCAAATAAATTCCATCAACAATTTTATTAAATGCAGGGGCAAGAATTACTTTTAAAAAAATTATTAATTGCAAAACAAAGGAAACAATGTGTACCAGGTAGTTTTCGCAATTGTCAAATTCTCGCATGACTTTAGTTAAAATAGCAAAAACTTAAATATTACAATCAAATTCCCTTTGCTTTGAAAATTGAAATGAGTCAAAAAAAATAAATAAATAAAATAACGGGGGAAAAAATTTAAATGCTTCATTTGAAGCAAAATCAACAAATTTGCCAGGCGCAGAAATAACTCAATACATATTTACAGTTTATGTCTTCGATACAATACCATGCTTAGAATGCTGTAACAAATATAGTTATTGATAACTGAATAAAGGTAAAACTTTAAAAATATCATCAAAGAACGACTTCCTTTTGATATAAAATCCATTAGATAGATAACAGTGACCTTTGTGTCCGTATAAGATTGAAATTAAATACATGTGTTATGAGAGGACAAGTTGAGTTCTGAGACTTGTGTCCTGTCCCAGTTGTTTGTTAGTCGTGGATATAGATCCACATGGAGAATATTCTCTAAAAGAACCATCGATATCAAAACATCTATTGTTATTTGCAAGTGTGTAGAAACTTGAATACGTAAAGCCTCAGACCCTAGGGCATTTCCATTTGCCGGGCGTCATTTCGTTAATTGCTAATTACTATTACATTTTAAGTTCCGGTTCAATTCATTAACCCAAACCAAAATATTGGTACATGGGGTACATTATATAACATATATACAAACTGGTCAGAGGTACATATACATTACAAACTAAGTAAATTAATTTATAGTGGATGACCTTTGGCATGCCAAAGTCTTTATTCACAAGTTGGCAGTTATTCACACTTGAGTAAAGGACTTTTTTCCAATATTTATTGGGGGGTGCAAGTGAAAATGGAGTTCAGATTCTATATAAAATTGCTTCCCATGAAATTCGTGATTAATTTCGACAAATATGTACATGTTAATAAATATTTCATGAATATTAATTATTGAAATTCCTCAAATATTTTTTGAAACATCCAAATATCCAAATGTGATTTATATCGTTTTGACGAATAAGAGCACGGCAATAAGTCCGTTGTGTCAAGTCTGTTTTCTGTGAAGGGCGTTGTCGTAGTCATCTCCCCTGCTTTTAAGTATGGCTTCGGCTAAACATTTGTCTTACAAGAATGATTTTCAAGTATGTTACTCAAAGTTAGGGAACATTTCCTTTAATGAATATTTCTGATTCAACATTTAGGCAAATTGCAATTTTAAATAACCTTACAATTTTTTTAAGAAGTGATACACAGCAATTATAATAATAAAAATATTTAAAAATAGCGATTGCAGAATTGATATATGTCAATCAGATGAAAACTTTTAATGACAATATCAAACTATTTAAGAAAATAAATTTGATAATAAGTATATACCAAATTAAAAAAAAACATTCAAACTGAAACATTGTACTTGTCAAATTGAAGTAAACATAAAAACACATTTCCTAGAATACAGCTGAAAACTTTTCAATGATAATTAAAAACTTACGATAAATATTGTTGGTACAGTGTATATGTTTGGAAGAGACAGTATCCAATGGAAACACAAAACAACATTAACCAACCAATTTTCTGTATAATGAATCGTCCACTTCCCATTCGACCTATACCATGCATAGACGTATATTCTGTGAATTCCTTGCATACTTTCGGGATGTGTTTCGGCATTTTGAAACCTGGAGAAATGATTATCCGTAGCGGATAATTTCTATATATACGTTTGCTCTCATTATATACAGCACCGGTTGCTGGTGTTGCTGATTTTCAAAAGGTTAAGTGTGTATTGATGAAATGAGACAAATTTTCACTCGGGGGTAAAATTTTAAATCCACTATTTCTGACAAGTGGGGGTTTTGTCCTTACATACACAAAACAACAAAGCATGGAACACCTAATACAAATGCCGTATTTAACACAATTCTCCATTATCTATTGACAAATAGCGAAGTTCTTTTCATTAAATATGAAACAAAGAATTACTTGTCATTGAAAATTCAATTATTTCAGCAGTAAAAATTCCCATAAGGCATATGATTTCCTCTCTCTGCAATACCTGTCAACCAAGAACATTCATAATTGATTGTCAGTGTTATTGAACTTTTAATGAACTTATATATGACAGTTTTACATACTACACCTGATTTTGGCATCATTCTTAGTAATTCCATAAGGATTTTCAAAACATTTTTATCTACTTCTTGTATTATGTGGCGTATTGAAAAAAAAAGAAAATAGGTGGAATTACTAAATTATATATATATATATATATATATATATATATATATATATATATATATATATATATATATATATATATATATATATATATATATATATATATATATATATATATATATATATATATATAATTTTGAGCGTTTTGATTTATCAATTGGAAATTCCAGGTAGTATAATCCATATTTCTTTTTAAATTGACTGTAGAATAATAATTTTTTAGGTTCGAAGAATTTAAATGTTCTGAAGTTGGATATGGACATTTTTATTATACTCAGTAGAAACTCTTCAAATAGCTGCTAAATGTACTATCAATTATATCTAATGGTGAACGTTTTAGTCGATGTTTTAATTTTTCAATCTGTCCCTGCCAATTTGCTTTCACAGACATCAGCTATAAGAATTTTATTTTTAATTTCATTTCGTTATTATAACTCTTTAGTCTCTTGTAAGATTTAAACATAGAGATGGAATGTTTCTAGCTCATATATTTAATTAATGGCTCAATTTAAAAAAAATTTATAGACGCAAAATGTCATTTTAAATATGAGATGCTGTATTTTCTCAAAAGGTAGTTGATCACAATTATTATTATCATTATTAATATTATAGTCTGAAATCCATATTATCTCAAAACCATACAAAATGATAGGCTCAGTAAGCGTAAAATAGTTTTAGGAGAGATTTTTAAAGGGTAAAGAAGGTTTCATCGCATTAAAAGCTTTTCTTGTAGGGTTAGTTAGCTGTTCAGCTGCATATTTAAGTTTACCAATGTAAAACTAAATTCGTGCCATGCAAATACTTATATTCATGTACAAAATAACTTATAACAGAAACAATGTTGAGCCATGTCAATTGTATTGCTTGAAGAAAAAAATCATTGCGTTATGTTCATCAAGGTAACAGTCAATTTTGAGTTCATGCGGTATTCTGAAAGACATGCAGTCTATTGTGTTGGAGACCTTCTTTTGAAAGGAGAATTAAATCATCTGCAGAGAAGAAATAAATAACTTTAATATTTTGTAGCTCTTGTAGGTTTTTGTTATTCTTCACAAGTTGCAACTGCCAAGTAGAAATTGTCAACAAATATATTCAAAAGCATTGTCTTCTTGCTTAAGATTTTCGAGTCAGGTCAATTTGGACAATTTTAATTCTTTTTTTCTATTTGCTTGTCAAAGTTTTCAGGTAATTTGTCAATAACACCCCCCTTTTTTAAACGATGCTACGTGCCTGGTTAAGAGTATTTAATCAGTTTCCGTTTTTGATCTCGCTGAACGGTACCTTGGTAATAAAATCCCGCCTTGCAATACAATCGGATATAAAATCAAGCACAAAAAGTCATGTATTTTTAAAAAAGACATTTCTTTTAGATCATCTAAAACGTATTAAAAGGATATTTATTAAAATGGATTTATTTATATGATCA